AAACATCAAGATGGGCAGTATGGCTGGACCATAGAATTTCATTGTTGAAAGTGACTAAAGTAGCCATCTAATCCAGTCCATATATGGAAAGAATACTATTATAACATAATTATTGAGATATTATATAGCAACTATTTAAAGACCTCTAATGAAAAGGAACCTCTCAAGATCATCCATTCTACTTTTAGATGATATGTTAGGAATTTTTCCTCAAATCTAGTTTAAATTTGCCTCTTTCAGTTTTCATCATTACTCCTTGTTTGTCCTCTGGAACCAAATAGAACAATTTTAACCTCTCCTTAATATGACTGAACTTGAAATACTTAAACACAGTTATTATATCTTCTTTGAGTATTTTCTTCTCCAGGCCAAATAAATATTCCTTGTTTTATCAGCTGATCCTTATATGATATGGATTCAAGACCTTTCATCCAGGTTGTCTTCCTGTGCATACAGTTCATCTTTATCACTATTCCTCTTAAATTGTAATGCAAAGAAGTCCTCCTGATTAAGTCTCGCCAGAGAAGAGTAAAGGAGACCATCATGTCCCTATTCTTGGAAGCTGTGCACCTTAATGCAACCTAAAATTACATTACATATTTTTTGGCTACCAAATCACACTTCTAACCAATATTGAATTTATGGTTCACTAATACCCTTAAATCTCTTTCAAAACATCTACTGTCTCAACTGTTCCACCAATCTTGTACTGGTAAATTTTACTTTTTGTACCCAAATGAAAGGCTTTACATTTATCCCTGTTGAATTTAATCCTGTTAAATTCAGCCCAGTGCTCTAAGCCTGTCAAGATCTTTTTTGTTTCTATCACTTGGTGTGTTAGTCATCCCTCACAGGTTTGTGTCATCTGCCAGTTTGATGAGCATAAAATCTATCCCTTTATCTCAGTCATTTGAAAAAAAAAGTTTAACAGGAGATAACCAAACAGGTTCCTTTGATACTGCACTGGAGACCTCCTTCCAGGATAACATTGTTGAGTGTATCTGTTCAGCTGGTTCTGAAACCATACAGTCAGACAATTCTATAGTCCACATACTGCTGTCTTCTCCAAAAATTAGTATGGGGTACTTCTTTAAAAGCTTTGCTAAAATCTAAGTAAATCATGCCCATTGCATTTCCTTCATCTACTAGTTATTACACTGTCACTGTAGGTGGCTATTAGGCTAACACTGTAAAGTGTGAGGATCAAATGAAATAATATTTGGTTAGGAAAAAAAGATACTTAGCACAATGACTGGCACATAGTGGCCCTATATAAATGCTTATTCTCTTCCCTTTCCTTCTATAGTAGTATACATGTCAAAAAGGGAAAAGGACTTTAAATACCAAACTGAGGAGTTTGTATTTTATTCTGTAGACAGTAGGGAGCCCCTCAAGGTTCTTGAAACAGGGGATTTTATTAGTCCTTTATTTTAGCAATATTATAGTGGTAGGTTTATTTTATTTAATTATAACAATAAAGTCTCTATACTCAATCTTATTTTATGTGGTTATCTGCTTATAGATTAAAAACATATTTTTATTAATTTATTTTGATTTATCAACAATCACTTCCATAAGCTTTTGAGTTTTAAATTTTTCTCCCCCTTCCTCCCTCTCGCACCATGATGGCTCACAATCTGATAGAGACTACATATATATATTCCTATTAAACATAATTTCACATTAGTGATGTTGTAAGGAAGAATTAGAACCAATAGGAGGAATCATCAGAAAGAGGAAACAAAACAAAACAGGTGAAAAAAACAGCAAATAATATGCTTCGATCTGCATTCCAATTCCGTAGTTCTTTCTTTGGATGTGGATGGCATTTTCCATTATGAGACCTTTGGAGATGTCTTAGATCCTTGCATTGCTGAGAAGGGCTAAGTCTATCAATGTTAGTCATTGCAGGACGTGACTTTTGCTGTGTATGATTTTCTCCTGGTTCTGCTCACTTCACTCAGCATCAGTCCATACAAGTCTTTCTAGGTTTTTCTGAAGTCTGCCTGCTCATCATTTCTTATAGCACAATAGTATTCCATTACATTGATATACCCCAACTTGTTCAGCCATTCCCCAACTGATGGACATTCCCTCAATTTCCAATTCTTGGCCACAACAAAAAGAGTTGCTATAGTTTTGTACATGTGGGTCCTTTTCCCACTTGTATGATCTCTTTGGAGCAGCTCTAGAAGTACTGTTGCTGGGTCAAAGGGTATGCACATTTTTATAGCTCTTTGGGCATAGTTCCAAATTGCTCTCCAAAATGATTGGATCATTTCACAGCTCTACCAACAGCGCGGTAGTGTTCCAATTTTCCCACATCTTCTCCAACATTTATCATTTTCCTGTTTTGTCATATTGGCCAATCAGATAGATGTGATGTGGTACCTCAGAATTGTTTTGCTTTGCATTTCTCTAATCAATAGTGATTTAGAGCATTTTTTCATATGACTGTAGATGGTTTTAATTTCTTCATTTGAGAACTGTCTGTTCATATCCTTTGACCACTTATTAATTGGGGAATGACTTGTATTCTTATAAATTTGACTTAATTCTCTATATATTTTAGAAATGAGGCCCTTATCAGAGAGACTGGTTGTAAAAATTCTTTCCCAATTTTCTACTTTCCTTCTAATCTTAGTTGCATTGGTTTTGTTTGTGCAAAAACTTTTCAATTTAATGTAATCAAAAGTATCAATTTTGCATTTCATAATGTTGTCTATCTCCTGTTTGGTTATGAATTCTTCTGTTCTCCATAAATGTGATAGGTAGACTATTCCTTGCTCTCCCAGTTTGATTATAGTATCAGCCTTTATATGTAAATCATCAACACATTTTGACTTTATTTTGGTATATGGTGTAAGATTTTGGTTTGTGCCTAGTTTCTGCCATACTCTTTTCCAATTTTCCCAGCAGTTTTTGTCAAATAGTAAGTTCTTATCCCAGAAGCTGGGGTCTTTGGGTTTATGAAATAGTAGATTACTATAGTCATTGACTACTATGTCTTGCATACCTAACCTGTTCCACTGATCCACCACTCTGTGTCTTAGCCAGTACCAAGTAGTTTGGATGATTGTTGCTTTATAATACAATTTAAGATCTGGAACAGCTGGAACCTTCCCCTGCATTTCTTTTCATCAGTTTTCTTGGTATTCTTGGGCTTTTGTTATTCTAAATGAATCTTGTTATTATTTTTTCTAGCTCTATAAAAATAATTTTTGGTAGTTTGATTCGTATGGCACTGAATAAGTAAATTAACTTAGGTAGAATCGTCTTTTTTATTATATTAGCTTGGCCTACCCATGAGCAACTGACATTTTTCCAATTATTTAGATAATTAAAAATGTTAAAAGGAATATTTGTATCCATGGAGATGGAAAGATTCAGTCTGAGAAGTGTTATGAAGGAATGTCATTATCTATCAAAGGTAAAGGAAATGCATATTCACAAATTAATGAATAAATGATTAGTAGGAAAAATAAGGTAAATTTAAGAAAATATAGCGTCATAGAACTCAGTAAAGTTGAGTTTTAGAAAGGAGAAGGTGGTTTTACAATCATAGAATTAAAAGGAATTTTAGAGATAATCTAGTCAATCTTCTACCTCCTTCCCAATTTAATAGGTGAGGAAACTGAGGTCCATAAAAGTTAGTAGACTTCTCCGCAGTTAAACAATAAATAAGTAGCAGAGCAAACACTTGAGCACAATTTCTTGACTCCCGACCCACCAAATTATACTGCAGCCACTGTAGAATTAAATGCAACACAGTTAAATGCTGATAAAAATCACTGGATTTGGCCACCATCTTTGGAGACCTTAGAAGGACTACTTTGAATACTGGACAGGGAGAAAAGCTAAGATTACCAGGTTATTGGAGAAATTGGTTATGAGCAATTAGAATTGGTTACCGGTAACCACTTACTTGAGAAATTTAATTTTGTTAGAAGTAGCAAGGTGTTAAGTAGATTTTTTTTTAATGCAGAAATTGTTAGAGAGGTAAAGGAAACAGTAGATGAGCCAAAGCAGGGGGATGGGGGGAATCCCCTATTGCTTATAGAATAAAATACACACTCCTTAACCTGGCTCTTGAGGATTTCTATAATCAAGATTCATTTCACAACCTTAGTTTTTTTTACTGCCTTAATTCACATTATTCTCCTTAATATCCTTTACATTCTAGTCGAAAGCTACTTTGTATTGTAGTTAGTCAGTAAATATTTGTTAAGCACCTATTCTGTGCCAGGCATTGTGCTAAGCTCTTGGGGATACCAAGAAAGGCAAAAAGCAATCCCTACCCACAAGGAGCTCCCTGTCTAATAGAGGAAGCAACAAGCAAACAACTATGTAAAAACAAGTTAGGTCCCAGATAAATTGGAAATAACCAATAGAGGGAAGACCATAGAATTAAGATGATCAGGCAAAGCTTCTTATAAATGATGGAATTTTAACAGGGATTTGAAGGAAGTCAGGGAAGCCAGGAGGCAGAGATAAGGACTGAGAGTATTCCAGGTATGAAGAACAGCTAGTGAAAATGCCTGGAATTCTGCTTAATTCTGTACTTGTTCCCTCCAATATATCCAAATATCTTTGAGCACAAGCAGGGATTGTATCATTTTTCATGTTTGTATCTCCAGTGCGTGGCACAGAGTAGCAACATCATAAATGTTTGCATAAAATATGTTAGAAGAGAAAGAATTGAGTATGCAAAACCCAAGTTTCTCATGATACAGGAAAGGGAAGGATATAGAGCATGAATAAATGCTTATTGAATTGAATAGCTGAAGTGTTTAATTTTAGAAAAGAAAGAAGGCATCTCCTTTGTCACTGTGTGGAAGGATGAAAGGATAGTTGCATGAGCAAGGTTATGTGTAGAAGCTGGAAAGGAAGATACTCATGTCAAATGGCCTTATTTCAGTAAAAGTATGATGGAGTAAAGTATCAGTAGTTAAATGTTAAAGAGCAGCTACCAAAGGCTACTTCATTTCTTTTTATTTAAGGATGCAAATGAAGATCCTGGAGAAGATGTGGCTCTCCTTTCGGTCAGTTTTGAGGACACAGAAGCTACTCAGGTGTTTCCAAAATTATACCTGTCACCACGCATTGAACAGTAAGTACCAGTGCATTTGACTGTTAATGCCTTCTTATTGTTATTCTGAAGATAGCATTATTGAAGTCTTTTTTACTTGTATTGCTTTAGATGAACTATTAAATTATCCTTTATAATTGATGCGTTTTTGCTTGAAAATGAAGTGTATTGGGAGTTTGAAGTAGACAGAAATCGAGTTCAAAGTTGCAGTGATAGTTTGGTAAATCTTGTAGGTGGGTAATTTGAGATCCAGTTTAGTGCCTTTAGTTGAATAGTTTGACAGGCATACTGTCTTTATAGAGAAGGATTGGTGGAATGCAAAAATTATAATAGTCTCAACATTATGCTGGGCAGCTGGGTGGCACAGTGGATAGAGTGCTGGGCGTGGAGTCAGGAAGATTCTTCTTCCTGAGTTCAAATCCAGCATCCAACACTAGCTCTGGACCCTGGGCAGGTCACTTAACCCTGTTTGCTTCTCTAACCATTTGCCTCCACTGTAGGCCCTCTTTTTTCCCTATATCATCCATGACTTGTGTGGTGGTGTTGTTCCAATTGTTCTTCAGTCATATCTGACTCTGTCACCCCATTTGGGATCTTCTTGGCAAAGATACTGGAGTGGTTTGCCATTTCTTTCTCCAGTTCATTTTACAGATGAGGAAACTGAGACAAACAGGGTGAAGTGACTTGTCCAGGGTCACACAGCTAGTAAGTGTCTGAGGTCAGATTTGAACTCAGGAAGATGAGTGTTCCTGACTCCATACCTGGCACTCTATCCATTGCACCACCTGGCTGCCCTTTACTTGCCCTCATACTCCTTATGATCTGGTCACTTGACACTCTCCTTCTTATCAGTAATTTTCCTAATGTATATAGCACTCAGAACTAAACACAGTACTCCATTTCTTTTCTTTTCTTTTTTATTTGGCATCTTTGTTTTTCTTTTTTTATATATTTTATTACATGTTAAAAGTTTTTTAACTTTTTTTTTGAGTCTTGATTTCCAGATTCTATCCCTCTCTTACTACTACCCTTTCCTGCCTCCCTGATACAGTAAGCAGTCAGATATAGGTTATTCACGTGCAATTATGTAAAACATTTCCATATTACTCATTTTGTCCAAGAAGACAAAAAAAAAACAATGAAAGAAAGTGAAAAATAGCATGTTTCAGTTTGTATTCAGACAATATCAATTCTTTCTCTGAAGATGGATAACATGCTTCACCATGAATCCTTTAGGATTATCTTGGATCATAGTATTGCTGAGAAAAGCTAAGTCATTCACCATTCTTCATTGTACAATATTGCTGTTACTGTGTACAACATTCTTCTGGTTCTGCTTACTTCATTTTGAATCAGTTCATGTAAGTCTTTCCTGCTTGCCATTTCCTATAGCTTATATATTCCATCACAATCATATACTATAATTTATTCAGCCATTTCTTAGTTGATGGGTATCCCCTCAATTTCCAATTCTTAGCCACCACAAAAAGAGCTGCTGTAAATATTTTTGTATTAATAGGTCATTTGCCCTTTTTTTCAGATCTCTTTGGGATATAGAACTAGCAGCGGTATTGCTGGATCAGTGGGTATTCTAGCCCTTTGGGCATAGTTCCAAATTCCTCTCCAGAATGGTTGGATCACTTCACAACTCCACCAACAGTGTATTAGTGTCCCAGTTTTCCTATATCCCCTCCAACATTTATAATTTTCCACTTTTGTCATATTAGCCAGTCTGGTAGGTATGAGGTGGTACCTCAGAGTTGTTTTAATTTGCAATTCTCTCCATTTCTTTTCTGATGAGAGCAGAGTAAATACAGCAAAACTATGACTAGTGAGAATGCCTCTCGTAATGCAGCCTAAGATTGCATAAGTTTTTTTTGTTTCTGTGTTCCACTGTTAATTCATATTGAGATTATAGTTCACAAAAATGCCCTGATCTTTTCAGACAAACTATAATCTCACAATGCTTCCTCCGGCTTGTATTTATGAAGTAAATTTTTTGAAGCCAGTTGTGAGATATATATTTATCCTTGTTGAATTTCATCTTATTAGATTAAACCCAATGTTCTAGCCTTTCAAGATCTTTTTAGACCATGATTACATCATCCAACACAGTCTTTTTTCCCTTCCTTATGTCATCTGCATATTTGATAACTATCTGTGCCTTTAAGTCATTGATAAAAATGTTAATAGTACAAGACCAAGGACAGATTCTTGAAACACTCCACTTGAGACTTTCTTTTACTTTGACCCATTAATGGTTATTCTTTGGTTTACCAATTCAAAAATTTACAAATATACCTAAATATACTATTGCCTTATGATGTGGCTGCTGCAGTGGTGAGCATGAGACCAGCTCAATACTCTTAACCCGGAGGCGCATTGATGAGGCGGGAGACAGCAAGATGGCAGAAGCTCCGTTTATTAAGTGCTTGTAGCTTTCTTTTATTTCCCTAGTAATACATGATCAAAGCATGATCTCCACATGATAGCCAATCACCAAGTCTGCTGGACACATGCAGCCCTCGTGTCAGGGGTTTGAGTAGGACTTTTCTCCCAATGAGAGGAGAGCCAAGCGAACCGTGGGAGCTGCGTGTCAGCAAAGGAGAGGTCTTGTGAGACTTCCTTGTTTTTGCCACGCAACAGGTTGTGACCCTCAGCTTCTGCCAAGAGAAGCTAGAACTCCCATGGGAAAATTCTCCCAACAGCCATACCTGTGTCTCAACACCTTAATCATAAGAATAACATGAGAAACTTTATCAGATATTTTGCTGAAATCTAGACAAACAAGTGCTACCATATTTCATTATTCTATCAGCCTGTTAACACTTTTCAAAAAAGAAATGAGATTTGTCTGGAATGGCTTGTTTTTGATGAAGCTGTGGTGGGTTTTGGTTATCACTGCTTCCCTTTTTCAATTTTTATAAGGTAACCCTTTAATAATACCTTCTTGAATCTTACCTGGAATTGAAGTCAAGCTGCCTGACCTGTAGTTTACAGATTCAGTATTCCCTTTTTTGGAAATTGGGACATTAACATACTTTTGAGCACTATGGCTCCTCTTCCATTTTTTTGTAATCCTTCATTGATGTTTTACATTGCAGCAGTAATCACCTTTAGCAGTAATTTTTGACTTCAGCATGTCACTCTTCTGGGTCTGGCAATTTGAACTTTGTTCTCTCCCTCCTTTCAAATGTAAGCTACTTGCAAGTAGGAATTGTTTCATTTATTATATTTGTATCACTACTGCTTAGCATAATGCCTGGTACATAATAGGTCCTTCGTAAATGTTTGTTGATTGATTCTTTTCAAAAGATTGTTCACCTTAACAGGAAAAAGAAGTAGGAACAGAGTTTAGTAGTTATGCCAGCTCTCTGTCATCATATCCACCCTGATACCATACCATACCTGATCCTTTTCTTTTCCCTAGTTCAGCTAGAGAAATCTTTTATTTGTAATTCTTGGCATTTCTTGTCAGCTTCAGCAGCAGTCATTGAAACTATCTGTTTTGGGTTAAATAATAAAGAGATAGATCAATTGAACTGACTAGAAAAGGCAGATTCAGAAACCTAGACTCAAAAAACCAATATTTGTTAAAGTGAAAAACATAAGTTACCCAGAGGAAAACTCCCAAATTGGGTGGGGGGTGAGGGGGACTGCTGGAAAAATTGGAAAGCTATCTGATAGAGATTAGGTTTAGATCAAATTAGGATTAGATCATCTTAAACAACATTCCACAATATATTCTAAATAGGTATACAACTTTAATGTTAAAAATCACACTTTAAGAAAATTAGAAACATCATATAGCCCTCACAGCTATGGGTAAGAGATAATTCTTTTTTTTTTTTTTAAGGCAATTGGGATTAATTGACTTGCCCAGAGTCACACAGCTAGTAAGTGTCAAGTGTTTGGTCTGAGGCCGGATTTGAACTCAGGTCCTCCTGACTTCAGGGCTGGTGCTCTATCCACTGCACCCCCTAGCTGCCCCTAGTAAGGGATAATTCTTAAAGAAGACATAGAGGTAATTATAAAAGAGAAAACAGATAACTTTAATTATTTGAAACTGAAAAATTGTACAGACAATATTGATGCATCTAGGAGAAGAATAGAAGTGGTCAAATGGGAAAAGATCTTTGTATCAAATTTCTCTGGCAAGAGTTTGATATCCAAGGTTTGTATTTATATTTGTATAAATTCCTTTATTTTTTTTGTGTTTGCAGTTTTGTTTGCATATAATTGTACATAATATGGCCTGGTTATTCTTTTTATTCTGGTTTTGCTGTAATTTCACCTCACTTATTTGCTTTTCCATTAATTTAATTTTTCTGCTCTTTTTTAGTCAGAATAGCTAAGGACTTATCAATTTTATTGGTCTTTTCAAAAACTTAGATTTTAATTAATTAACTAATTAATCGATTTGATTTTTGGTGAGGCATTCGGGGTTAAGTGACTTGCCCAGGGTTACACAGCTAGTAAGTGTCAAGTGTCTGAGACCGGATTTGAACTCAGGTCCTCTTGACTCTAAGGCCAGAGCTCTATACACTGTACCACCTAGCTGCCCCAGATTTTAATTTTTTTGGTCGTTCTTATGACTTTTTTGGTTTCCAACTTATCTATTTCTCCCCTGATTTTTAATATTTCCTCTTTTGTGCTAATTTTAGGTTTATTTGTTTATTTTCTAATTTTTTAAAATGTATATTCAATTCATTAATCTATTTTTCAGTTTTTTATTTAATTGTGTAATTATATAATACAATTTTTTAAACAAGGATATGATTTTACACTTGAGGACTGCTTTAGCTGCATGCTAGAAATTTTGGTATGTTCTTTCCTCATTTTATTTTGCATAGTTGTTATTGTTTCTATGATTTGTTCTTTTATCTACTCATTATTTAGGATTTCATGGTTAAGTCTTCATTTGGGTCTGTATTTTTTGTTTGTGGTCTCTGAACCAATTTCTCTTTCTTGCATTATGGTCTGTAAAGAATATATTGATCATGTCTCTCTCTTACATTTGT